TGTTGAATTAATAAGGCTAACTGAAATATGTCTGTTCTACCATAACATCAAAAATGGTATCTTATCCACAAGTGTATCTTCCTGTGAGCTTCTTAGTACCTCTGTAGGTTAAAAAAAATGTTTTTAAATTGCACTACATTTATAAAACCAAAACATCTTAAAGCTTATGTGAAATTATTATTACAATCATATGATATTTTAACTTCTGGTTATTGAAATATGTGTAATCTGTTTATAAATTTAATGTAATTTTCAGTATTTCTAAGGAGCCCTGTATAGTTTAGAGTAATGAGCATATTAAATACAATTTATTCTACACAATTGTATTTGGGAAATCAGAAATAACCTAAACGAAATTTTAGATAGTTAATATATGCCATTGTTTGCTCTTGTGTTACAGAATTACATCTCTTCAAATGCAATTGATTGACTGACTTGAAATTTTGGTAAAATCATCACAAGTAAATAGAATTAAAATATTGTTCTATTACACAGCTTATTAAAATAATTCAATTATAATACAGAAAATTGTATAGTGAAAAATATATTTCTTGAAATTAGGTAACTTGTACATGGTTTTTAAACCTTTTTTTCCAATATTACAGTAGCAAATATATGGACATTTTTTACAAAATTTCCTGCTTGTTATTAATTTCTTACATTAACTTTTGAGCTGCCTGATTTCCACTTTCCTAGTTTACACACTTACGTTGCAGCATATGTCAATGTATAAAATATCTTGCCTTTCTGCTTCTGAGGTTCTGACAGATTAAGTTCTCTTTTTCTATCATACATCTACATATATGTACACATACATATATTTTTTGAATGCAGGAATTTCTATTTTATAATGAAAAGATCTAAATTGTATTTTTGAAAAGGGAGTATTTTTTCTTATTGTAAGATGTAAGACTTCCACTATGACATGGAAGCAATTATACTAGAGAACAGAAATATTTTATTGTAATTATTATATTTGACGGAAGCACATAATAATCTCAAAATTTAGAAGCATTCTGCTAAATATTGTGCAAATCAGAAACACCAACAGGTTAGCAATTTTCCTTTTACTTTGGTCTTATTTGAACTGTTTTATACACAAAGTACACTACATTAAGAATAAACATTTGAGAATATGAAAATGCAAGTGGAATTTTGTATTATTTAGGGTTTGGGGAGGGATTTTGCATAGAAGCAGACCCAGGTACCAGGCTTTAAGTACGTACCAGGGAGAAAACATGAACTCTTGCAAAGAACTGCAGTATGACCAACTCAGCGGCTACCATGTAGCTCATCTGCCCCTGCAGTGATTTCATATGGCTGACACCAGGCAGGCAAGCGACCTGTGGAGTCTTTCCTAAAAGAACAATAACATAATGTATCATGAGTACAGCTAGGACTTCAGTGATGGTTCAAAACTGTGTGAGCGCCTACACTCACACTGCAGGTGTGCTACATGTGGAAGGAGAGAATCACAGAATCACCAAAGGCTGGGGTTGGCAGGCACCTCTGGAGACCGCTTGGTCCAACCCCCTGCACCAGCAGGGTCAGCTAGAGCAGCTATGTCCAGCTGGGTTTTGAGTATCTCCAAGGATGGAGACTCCACAACCTCCCTGGACTACCTGTTCCGGTGTTCAACCACCCTGACAATACAACAGTTTTTTTTCTTACACTTAAAAGGAATTTCCTGGGTTTCAGTTGGTGCCCATTGCCTGTTGTCCTGTCACTGGACACCACTGAGAAAAGCCTGGCTCCTTTACTCCCTCCGACAGGTATTTGTGCACATTGATAAGATTCCCCTCAGCTTTCTCCAGGCTGAGCACGCCCTGCTCTCTCAGCAAAGCCTCTTATGTCAGACGCTGCCATCTCTTAATCACCTTCATGGCCCTTGAGGGACTAAAAATGGACTTGCAGAAGGCATGCCATGGATAAAGTCCTTTTTACCAGATATTTACTGCTATGGCAATACAGACATATTCACAAATACCTTTGCAGAATAACAGTTCTACTTGTGCAAGGTATAGGCTGGGAATGTTTGCTAATAGTATCAGCCATGGAAACAAGAGACATAGTAGTAGCTCAAGGAAATGGATAACAGAAGTATGTACCATCTGTAGTCTAACACTGTAAACTGTTGCCTTGCTTTGAGGATAACTGAGCTCTCTACACTTACATGAGAGACTTAAAAGATTTCCATCAGGATTCCCAAATAATGGCTTGACATTTTGTAGAGTTCACTTTTACGACCTTGAGTCTTTACAGGCAGAGATTAACTCATGAATAAACAATTGTTTGCATATTCAGAATTATGCTTTTAAAAGTATTTCTAAATTCAGGCAGAAATACAAGTAAGAATCATGTTCATTACCTGTGACTTATTTTTCCATTTTAATGTACAAGACTTTTAAAGAAAGCTGCCAATAGCAAATTCAAACAACAAATCATTTGCAGAAGTTGCTTCCAGGAAGTTAAGACAAAAGGTGTTTTCTCTCCTTCTACATTTATTTTCTAAACCTGATGTTACATTCTTATATGGAAGTAATGGTAGACAGCCACTTGCTTGTCTAAACTGTCGGCAAAGTTATAGTATACAAGACATTATATGCAAGTACTTTAGTTGCAGGAGAATGTAATACTATAGTTTTTGCAGAAAAGAACATGCTTGGAGAAATTCAGACATCTGATAGCCCTGCTATTGACTCCATTGGGACCAAAATGTCACAATAGGCTAGTTGCTTAAAACACACACACCTGTGAAGCAGATCTACATTCTTTTCTCAGACCTAGTATAGATGTTTACATAGACTTAAAAAGATACATAAGCTCTAGAAACCTTTGTTAACACATAAACAACATATGCTAAATACCTGAAAGTGTAAAGTTTTGTAATATGTATGATTCAGTGGGGCTTATTCATTTTTGAAATTGCTTTCAGAAATAAAAAACAGTACATATTTCGAATTAATTATACTGTGCATTTAAAACTCTGCATTGACTGTACCTGTATTCCTAAATACAGCTAGTTTAAAAAAAGTGGGTTTTTTTTTCTGAATAAAATGGTGTCTTTTGGTAAAAAATGGAAAGCTGATTTCTGACAAACACTAAACAGATAAACATAGAAACACCCCCCCCAACACACACACCTTTAATTAGAAATGCCACTGTTTTGATTTTCAGTTTTAATACAGTGCTTCATGTCACTATTAACCCCTACGCTATATTATCTGTAAGGCATTATTAAATGTACAATGGAAACAAGCTGTTCCCAAACATTGGCACTTCTGGACAAAGACATTTTAACAGGCTTACGCATAATCAAAAGATTGTATTGAAACTTTCCCACCTAACCACAGGTTGAAGGAGCTGGACCTCAACTTCTTGGATAACATAGCTATGCATGGGCAACCTTGATCCTGTTTACAGTTAACTTTCCTGAATATGGTGAGTAACCACACTGTGAGCTGTTTCATGACGACAAAAACATCAATCCTCTTTTCTAAGGAACCCAAAGATTAACAGTACCATAAAGTTCATAGTGACATAGACAACACAGAAAAAATCACAAATAGCAGACTCTTTAAGAAGAGACAAGAAGATTAGTCAAAGGATTTGAAGATCTGAAGTTGTAGGTAGCTAACTATTAAAACAATAGGTTTGATGGATTTGGCCCTTTTTCTGAAAAATGCACAATGAACTTCTGTTTACTTTTCTCAAATGACAAGAACACATAATGTAATTAAAGACAGTGAACTGAAATGAATAGAAGGAACAACTGTCATTAATATCAGTTAATATATGTATTATGATGTTCCTCAATGTCTCTATTATTTAGCAAATTATTTATAAGTTAAAATATATGTATCTTATGTGTATGAACATATATATGGATGAATATGAATATATATGTTTAAAGACATACAAATAACAGGATCTAACACTCTTATATTGGATAGCTCTAGGTGCTACAGAGGAAGATCATAAAGTCCAAAATTTAAATTGCTGCGATTACATTCTCCCCTCTGCCAAAAATATTACATAACCACCCCATACATGCTACCAAATTAAAGTGGTTTTAGAAATTAATTTGTCTGGCAGGCTAAAAGACAGTTATGTTTTTTAGAAAGTTAGGTTAAGCAAGTCCATAGATAGATGGAACTATGAAAAAAATAGGGCATCTAGTGGCTCTTGTGTTACTCATTTCTTCTAAAAATTCTGTTTTCTCTCTGCTTTTTTTCTCATATGCCTATTTTAACACTTTATTGCTTGTCCTTACATGACTCAGTGGAATAAACTGATGCTCTGTTTTATACAGCTTCCACAGCTAATAATACATAATTTCCAGTATTCATCATAACGTTTATTACAAGTTATTTCAGCCTTAGCTACAGTTTAAGGTTCCATCATACACTATTTTACTTTGTAAGTGACAAAATGAAGAAATCTTTCTCTGTTTGATACAGCCCAGAACTCTCATGCATTTCATCAATACATTTCACCCTTTTTTTCCTTTGTAGCTGAGCTCCCAATCAGTAGCAACAATTACTTACTGTCAATGGTAAGATGTATGCAAAAGATGCAAAGCAGCAGCCAGTGTAGCTGTTTGTCTGTAAGGAACCAACCATCCCATTACACAGTCACTGAAAGGTCAGTGGAATTGAAGGGCTTATGTCGCTTTTGTTAGATTCAGGAGCATTTTACCATTCCATATTGCTATTCGGGAAAAGAACCAGGCTTTTGTTTCTGATTCTATTAGCAAAAAACATGATCACTGGAAAGCACGTTACTTGCCACAGCTTCCCCAAGAGAATTATTCATTTATCCTCGATTGAAGTTGTTGTAACCATTTGATATGACACTTCTCATCCGAGGAAGGCACACTGTTTTATAAACGGTAATACTAAGCTATGTAAAATTCTGGCATCCAACAGTACTGTGATTCTGGGTTTTACAGGGGAGGAAGCGGAGAAAGAGAAGTTGACTGTTTCGTCCAAGCTCACACGATGAACTGTGCAAAAAGCAGCAACAGAAGCCAGCATTCTCCATCTGTCGTCCCTGTGCGAGACACTGCACGATCCTTTACAACCTCTATCCGGTAAATCCGCCTTTTAGAATCAGATTAGCCGGCGAACTTCTCCAAACTTTGCCTTTTTTTTTTTTTTCCTCCCCTCTGAGGTGTATAACAACTTCGTAAATAAGAGCTGAAAAGGGTCTATAATAGAGACGCAACGTCTTACCTGCTGTGAAAGCAAAACATCAACTCAGAGAGAACCGAGAGCGCCTTTTTAGGTCACAGCTGCCTTCCTTCGCCGGACAGCAAGAAATTCCCACAGGACTGC